TCACTACAGAACAGCTGACACACAGCTGTTTTTCCTGTCCCAAAGCCCGTAGATAACACAAATGTCCATGTCAGCAGTCCCCACTGTCTCACAGAAACATTAGACTTCCCTTTATGTTCCTGCTTTAGAGATAATGGGACATAGTCTGACATCAGAGGGAGTCAGCAAACCCTGGACTATCTGTTTGATGTGAGGATGACTCAGCTGAAGACCTCACCTTTCTTGTAAAAGGTCTTTCTACCAGCTATTAGCCTGACAGCAGTAGCTGGGATACATGAAACGACTCTGAGAACATAAATAGAGAGCCTGGCTGGGGCTGCAAACATTGTACCCTTGGTCTGAGTAGAAATCCTGCTTTATGGAGACTTTGAGGGAAGGCTTGAAGGAACGGGTCCTGTGTCTGCAGAAGAAGCAGTGTGGTGGTTAGGAGGCAAGACTGTGAATTAGGACACATGAATTCACACCCCACTTTATTGCAAAATACTGGTATGACCTGGAGCGTACCTTTGTTCCTCAGTGTGTCTGTAAAACAGAACAAATTGTACTTCCCATGCCCCGGTCCCGAAAGCCATGTGTGGTAGAAGATGCTTGTGTATTTTAAGGTCAATACCTTAGAAGATTTCTTATGTGGCTTTCCTGTACACCTTACTTCAGTCATTATAACATGTAAAATACCTGTAGAAGCGTCCTGTCTGTGGATTGATCCCAGTTTTGCAAGAAGGTCTTTGTTTGTAGTAACAGCGCTCTGTCTTGCTACTACCACTGAGAAGTTTCTGGACAACTGAAATGTCCCTTCTTATGTTTTCCCTTCTTCTATTCTGTCCTTTGTTTCCCAGTCCGGGCATCTGAGAAGCTGCATGTGGGTGTGCTGGGATCTTGATGACTTGTTGATCTGCCAAGTCATGGTGATATTGCCACTCTTATAGCCCTTCTTCTGCCATTTGTTCATTCAGGTGCTTCCATTCCCACCCATTTCCCTACATCCTCCATCCATACCAACCTATTACAGTCCTCTGCAAGTGCAGCTCTCAAAGTCACTGCCTGAATTTACAAATGATCAGTAACTGTGGCAGGGACAGGAACTTGAAGCGTTATTTTGACTGGATGTGTTGAGGAGTGCTGCTGCACATGGGGTTTGTCTGAGGAAGGGGGCATTGCTAAGCCACAGCCAACCCTACAAGTGGAAAAGCCAGGCACTGCTGTAGCAGTGTAACCCTTTTTGCTTTAGGATTGGCATCCCCACGCCTGGGATGCATGTGTGAGCATCACTCAGTCCTACGGGGGTCACAGTCTTTGATGAAGGGGTACATACACAGATTGCCTATGGGAGTGCTTTTATAGCTCCCTTTATTTCTCTCATATGGCTGTCAGGGATGTACAAAGGCTGAAGAATTAGTTTTGCATCTAGCACAGGCTCTTAATTTTCTCAACAGGAGAGACAGCCGCGTCAAAGAGAGAATAGCAGCCTTATGATAATGAGATGTCAAGCGCTACCCTCAGGTGATGGAACAGCCTAACTATGGTGACTCAAGCTGTCCAGTAGTAAAGAGCTGTGGACTCGGGAAGAAATCCTGAGTTTGATCCAGATTAAAAATACTTTCTTGTACTATTTTTGAGGGATTATTTTTAGCTCAGACCGATTTGTTGATTTGGGAGACCTTCAGGCAGGTATGTTTTGAGATCAAGAGGCCAGGAACTGGAAGCTTCTCAAGCCGGCTTTGCTACTGAACGAATGGTGTACGGAAGCACACCCTTGCTTACAACAGTGCGGCAAAGACAAGAGATGGCTCTGTAGGTTGAGGTTACAGGAGTTTAGATGGATCCCATCCCACACAGCCAGATCTGGTGTGGAACTTGGTGTTGCTCAGTTCCAATCCTGTTGTGTGACTGTGTTTAAGAGCAGATATGATATCTGAAATAAAGTGATTTGGAAAGACGGGGGGATGGAGAGAGGTCTGTTGTCTTCCCTGCACAGATGAGACTGCTGAAACTCAGGTTTGTCGGTAGAGCATCAGGAGTGGTTCAGGTTCTGTTTTCACGTCTTTTGGGCATGTTTCCAAGCCCACTGAAACCCGTGAAAAGACTCTCCTGACACTGGTGGGCCTTGGCTGTGGCCAAAAGCTGGCTGCAGGACCACACTGTACTCAGGCTACATTAAATAACTACTCAGCTTGTTTCATTTCCATTGTTGTTATTTTTATAATGTGACTGGTGCTGGTTAGATGGATTTGTGACTCTCTGAATCCCCTCTTGACACAAAGCACTGTGTGAAGAGCTTGGCATTTAGTTAGTAATGACCACATGCAGACACAGCAAAGGTTTATTTTTGCCTGCTGAAGAGTGTCTTATGAGGGCAAGAAATAGAATATGCAATAGCTGCCTTTGAGACAAGGGGAATTACTCCTTCTTTTCCTCTACCGTTTGCTGCCTTTTTTTTTTTTCCCTCTACCTTTTGCTGTCTTTGCTGCATTTCAGTGGTGCCCACTATACATTAAGCAGTCCTGCTCGTGCAGATGGCCTTCCGCAGGAGTGGGACTGCTCAGCGTATAGCGGGCTCTAGGTGCTCCAGGTGTATTCACACTTATCCCACAGAAGGACACTTCTCCTCCTCTTCACACCCAGTCAAAAGCCACATGCAGACGACACAAAGGGGCAAAGGCTGCTTTTGCCATGATTTGTGTGTGGCTGCCGACCTCCCACACAGCACATTACGTGAGGCATCACCACTGCTCCGGTGAAGCATGTGCACACCTTCCTTTAACACACTCTGAGGAAACATGATGGTTGCTCTTCCTCCACGTAGCAGGCCCACCATCTGTCCTCTTTATCTGATCTTTCGCTTTTCTCTTAGTTCAGCGTTTCTTGATTTAGTGTCCTGGCACCCTGATGATAGCCTGTGATATTTTAGCTTCGATGCATGTTCCAACCTGTGCTTCTTCCACAGGCAGAACTGCCCCTTTCTTTTGGGAACTGTAAATATCGTGTGGCTACTCATCATTATGGAAAACTGGAAGCTCCAGAACAACATTTCCAAATATTTTTCAGGGCAATCCTGTTGTTCTGGCAAATGTCCAGTAACAATCCACATACAGACGTGTCTTTATTAACAGTCGGGGGCTTTTGCACTTCTTAACCTTACAGTATTGCCTTAAAAGCATCCTGGACAGTGCAGATAAAACTTGTTCCCTTGCGATGGCTGGTGAGTGACACATGTGACTTGAGGAGTGGGATACTGGCCACTGTGTCACATAGCTCAATCCCATTGCTGATGCAGACATGTCTCATGGTTGCTGATGTTAGTGGAAACCTCCAGTGTGGGCTAGGCACTGGAGGCCAGCCTTGCTTTTGGGTGAGTCAGTGGGATATATTTCAGCAGCAGGAGATTTGCGTTGCATCACGGGACTGTCAGTGTCCAGAGCTTACGCTGTCTGGGCCAGAGGATCACATATTATGGAGCCACCCTCTGTGTGGCCCAGACTGAGTGCTCTTTCTGCTGAAGCTTACCCCAGGCAGAGATCGTTCTGAGCTGGAATGATTTCAAAGCAGAAATGCGCAGTATGCTTTCTGATACTCTCCACTCCTCTGTGCAGGAGAGAGTCAAGGCTGCGTCTTGGTTTTGCACTTAAGCGCTGAAGGCTTTGCAGGTGGGGGAGTATCAGCATTCAGGATATGTCTGGATAGCTCAGTCCCCACCAACCAGAAAAACTCCAGAAAGATGTGTGAGAACAGCCCATATGTATATGTTGTATGAGCTCTCAGAGACTAAACCTTCATAAAACTGTGATCAGCTACCTTCTGTGTAAAATCTGAGGCTAAACCCACAGCAGATCTCTTGAGGTTGGTTGAGACTCATCTTTTTTATACAAAGGCCATAGTTCCATGGCAGCATCCAGCCAATGTGAGCCAACACTCCCGTTGAAAGGGTATGTCCCGGCTGCTTGCTTCTGCCCCATACCATCCTTTCCCTTGGACATGTTTAAATCTTATTTATATATGCTGACCCCAGCCAGGGAGCTGTTTCAAGTTAAATGCTGTTCCTTGCTTCCAGGTTGCTCTTGACCTGGGTCAGATCCTGAATCCAGTAGAGAGCAGCAGCACAGACATCAGCAATAGGACAAGGAAGGCGGAGGCCAGAGTGCGAGGGGCAATGGGACACCTGCTTTCAGCAGCAGCACTGGTTTATGCTGGTTTAAAATGACTGTGAAACTGTGGAAGAACTTTCAGTGTCTACAGTGCAGGATAATCATGACCAAAGAAACTACACAGAGCTCAAACCTTTTTTTTCTCCAAAAGCTTTTTTTTATCTGGAGTCATTGATGCCACTATGAGGATTAAATTGGAAGGCTCAAACTGGAAATTATTTCTAGGCTGTTTCCTGGAACACAAGCTGTCCACAAGATGAAGCTGTAAAAGTCACAGCTTTTATGAACAGCTGTGAATCACCTGCATTTGCACTGAAGGGTGCAATGCAATTCCCTTGGTTGCTTTCACTCTTACGGCAATTCCACCAAAATATAATTCCTGCAGGACTCCTCAGCACGTTCCTGATGTAGGAAGATCAGGGATCTGTGGATAGTTTTCCTTCAGAAGCTGCGTGAATGGCTGCACTAGGGCTTGTAGAAGTCTAAATCTACTGAAAAAAATTCAGGCGTGTAGCAATACAAGTTCCAGTATTGTATCCTGTGTTTATTGTCATACAGCGTTTTGCACTGTGTTACCCATTGCTTATCCACGCTCCCAGGCCCCTCTAGTCAGGAGTTATTTCTGTTTAGTGATCTGAGAACAGAGCCAGGGAGCTGTACGTAATCCCAGCCTTAACACCCACTAGGCACGTAGCCTGGGGTAAGGCACGTTCCTGAGTCTGTGCTCCATGCTGGTGAATAGAGATCATCATCTCTTAATGCACATGGGGGCCATGAAGTCCACCTCAGGATGATACCAAGTGTTTTCTGAGAGATGGCTTAGCCTCATGAGTTCCTAATGCTCAGCTCCTCTTTCAGTGTGCACGTGTTGCTCAGTATGCCGACTCCTCAGAGGTGAGTGCTGGATTTCCTGCGCCCCAGTACCCACGCATCCCTTTCAGGCATGACTGCGTTCCCCAGCCTGGCTTGCTCCTGCCGCTTGTACTCACTGGGTTTCCTAACACCAGGGGAACAAACCAGGGGAAGGCCAGGCTGCGAGTGAGTTTGTGAGCTGTGTGTGTGCTGATGGCAAGTATTGCGGTGCTTCTTACCTTACTGACCTGTGTTACCCAAGGCTGGGGATTGTTTCTCTGGAGAAAAACCTCAGTCCTTTCTGTTCTAAAGGATGTACCACTGTTCTTGCTGCACCGGTGTAACTCCTGCCCCTTATCCCCCAGTGCTAGTGTAAAACCACAGGGAAACCAGCAAGAGCAAACCTTCCTCAGTCCCAGCCCTGTATTGCTCTGTTCCCTAAGACATGTGTTTCTCTGTTGGTGGAGAGGACGCTTATGTTTGGGATGAGCAGGGTAAATAACAAAGCCCAGTAGCAGACCCTGGTACCATGAAATAGGGTTGAACAGACTCTCCCTGCTTCAGTCTGTGCTAGAGCCATTTTTGAAAAATGTCCCACTGTCCCCAGTCTTGCTTGTGTTTACAAACTTAGGAGTGTAGTGAATGGTTTAGCTGCCGGTGGTCTTTTCAATGCTGCACCAGTTAGCTTGGTTGCTAAGAGCTGAGCCGTATCACTTCTGCATTTTGTCCCAGTGGCATATGAAAGGAGGGTGAGGCCTCTGATTTGGGCATGCCAGAGGATGGGGCTGCCAAGCAGCTTGTCTAGGGAGAAAGAAGAAATCCAGACTGGCAGCATCTCATGTTGGTGGAAGCAAAAGACCTAACTCCTTTACTTCTCATCTCGTGCTTTTTGTTTATTTTGCACACTGTAATCAACCTGGGGATGGCAGCAGAGGGACTGAAGGATCACAGTGCTGCCACCGTGCTGCAGCCATCGCTGCAGGCTCATGTCACTTCCAGAGTACTAGGGTGTGTGTTCCCACTGCCTTGTGCCTGATGTGCTGTGCAGCCCTGTGCAGCATTAACGTTTGGAGGCTGGTGATCCCAGCCTGACACTGTCTCCTTGCACACCACGTAGGTGGCAAACCAACCCTCATATTTGGTTTGTCACCCTCCCTGTTGTCCTTTTCCAGTTCTTTGCACTAGCACATTTGGGGTGTGTGCGCCACTGTGCAGGAGAATGAAGCCTGTTTAAGGTGGTATTTGTTTAAGCAATCATGAAAGACTTGTATTCACAGTCTATTTTATTAGCACCCTTCTAATTTTAGCCTAAACCGATTTTATGGATTTGACTTCAAAGCGTTATTTATAAAAAGAATCACTGAATCCTTAAGTGCTATTAAGTCATGAGTTAATCTTAGGAAAGTCATTTAATGATGCTAAAGCAGTAATCAGTCCAATATGTTTACAAATTGGGCCCAAAGTCATGTTGATCTGGTTTAAATTGCGTACCCTGTCATTCAGATTGGCTTGTCTTACTATTTTTTTTCCCCCTGACATAATTCAGTCCCTTAGACCATGTCAATAGATATGCTGAGGCTCTATCTCATAGAGGGTTCATTCTGTCTCCACAGGCTGCCCTTTCTCTGTCTCCAAGGCAATAGATGCATTAATGCACTCTCAGACAACGGCCTGCCGTTTAAAATGCTCCTTTGTAAGTGCAGCTTTGGTAGCTTAGAGAGCTGACTACGTAATGTGAAGGCATTTTCTCAACACCACAAAAAGCAGGGAGAAGAAAGAAGCTAAGTTTGTTTAGCTAGGACTGTGTTGTCCTGAACTATTGGCACTCATCTTTCCTTGGTGCAAACTTTTGTGTAGCCAGTTTCAGAGTACAATCGTTAACAGTACTCATTTCCAAAGAGTTTATAATCTAAATGGGCAGATAGTCAAGCCTTACCTCAAGCAGGAGTATTAAAGGCTGGTTTAGAGCCATGATGCAGCCTTTTTGGCAGGAGCAGTTGCCTTAATGCTCTTGCAGGTGAAACTCAATTGTTTCTCTCTCTGGCTGACTCATAGGAACCCCCACAGCTCTTAGGAGAGTACAGGCTGGTGGGAGCAAAAGTCTGCCCATCCTGCTCCCTATGATGGGAAGGTCCCATCCCCCCAGATAATATCCTGAGGGAAGGTTTCATGAGGATGTGGCCTGCAGGTGCCATGGAGTGTACGTTTATGCAGAGACTGAAGGCCAGGGTGAGTGCAGCATGAGCTCGCCCTGTACGGGAGCAGATCCGTCACTAGTCAGCGGTGGTGGGCACCTCTGCCACTGAAGCTGTTTGCTTCACAGAAGAGCTCTTTCCTGCCCACTTGGCTCACTCCAGCTGGCCTCATGGCCTGCACATGACACAAGCATTGACACAATTCAGGACATTCATCCTCCTTCACTCTGGGCAGCATCACTAAATGCAAGCGTGTTCCACTATATATACTCCAGCGTGTCTTGACAGCTTCTGTGTCAGCTCTTCTTGCTCTTGTTCAGTGGCAGGCCTTTGCTGGCAAAACTCCTCCCAGGTCTTTACACAAGTTTCTGATTTATCTCTTCTATGTTCACGGCCTGTGGAAAGTCAGGCTGCAGCATTAAGGAACAACGGTACAATTACGTAAGAGCTCTTCTTCCTCTTCAGGAAGGACGGAGTGAAAATCTCCAGGGATATCTGTTTGTCTTTTGGCAGTGCCTGGTAAATGCTTAAATGCATTAAATAAGCTTGCTTGGAACTGGCATTTAAGAAGTAACAAATACTATGTTTGGTGGTATTCTCTCAACTAACGTCTCTTAGGTGCTGTGGCATGGTTGAGAGGGAGGAACAATTTTAATCCTTGCAGAGAATAAATATATCTAGCAGATATTGAAGAATCAGCTGTATATCAGGAGAACTGTTGTGGCTGCATGTATTTGAGGGGGTATTTAATACTAAAATGCTGATCAGGAGCCTTAGGCAATGTAAGAAATGCGCAAGGACGTTAATGATGAATGGGACTGTTGTTTGAGTGTGCACTGCAGGGTTGTGCTCCATAGTGGTGACTGATACAGTAATGTACGCCTTAAAAACTACAGCTCAGCAGTGACTGACGGTCAGCCTAGCCAACATGTTCAGTCAGCCATCCACAAGGTGTTGTATCATAAAGCCAGCCCCTGGAGTTTTCCCAATAAAATAGCTGGATCTCTTCCTATGTGTGGTTGTCACCCTGAAGACAAGGTGACAGATCACAGACAGTCAGCAGTACAGCTCAACAAGGACCTTAATGGGACATTCACTTAATTGTGTTTTAAACAAATCACCTTATCGGTATATTAGATGTATCCAACCCCTTCTTTGTGATATACTACAAATTGCACATGAGATTATTACAGTGGAGAGTACTCTTAAAAAACTAATTGACTTTGCATCAAGGGGGCTGTTCATATATCTCTGAACTCATTCAATTAAATGGTGTAGGCGGTTTCATTTCTGTTCTTAGCCAGTTTTGCTTCCAGCTCTTGTGCTGGGGATTTACAGAATTTTTAACCTTTCTCTCATTGAGCTTAAAGAACAAAAGACAACTTTCCGTTGCTCTAGGCATTTTGTTCCTTAAAACTTCCCTTTACTAAATAGTGAATCAAATTTTTACAGGGATGATTTGCATCACTTTGCAAGACTACCTCTGAATGATAATTTGGGAGTTTCGCTTGGTATTTCAAAATACTTTCATAGTTATTTTGGTTATTTCAGGGAAGGAAAAATTTTCTTAGAAAATCAGTAGGTTCTTTAAGTACATTTGCATTTTAGCAACAGAAAGTTAAAACATTCATTATTATTTAATAAACTCCAGTTGAACCACAGATATTATGAAAGCGAAGATGAAGATTTCTGTGCTCTGAAACAATGTTCCTTCCCCCTCTACACCCAAATGTTTTCCCCTAACAGTTTATTCTTTCCTTTTCTCTATGTAAATATTATGGGACTCTGATGTAAGTGTTACAGATTGCATGAGTTTTCTTCTGAGGTGTTTGGAATAGACTAGCACTTAACAACTTAATCATTTGTGGGATGTGTTTTCATTAACGGATGACTTTGTTGATGTGATTAGACCTGTTTGCTTTGGTTGCACTTGACTTCAGCTTTGGAAAGGATGTCTGCCTCTGTTTTGTCGCTCCTGGGCAGTGTGTGCTGGTGGAGTTGGCTGCTCCTAACTTCCTGGTTTGGCAATGAAAACTGTTGGGGAAATACATGACTTGGGTCAATGTCTTTTGGAAATGATGGCAAATTTGTCTTTGTTGCAGGGAAAAGAAGCTGATCGCCATCGTATAATAAATATCTGCTCTCTTGCCCTTACTAAGTGGTGTGCAAACCTCCTTATATGAATTATCCCCTGGAAAGGCTTAGTTCTGGAGTGACTTTATCTTCCACTACAATAATACAATACCTTGCTCCTGGTTCGTGTAGTCTGTGACTGTGGTTTTCCCCATTGCTCCCGAAGAATTACAGTGACAGGAGAAAGAAGTTTTGCCTGGGAAAATAAGGGGGGGTCCAGCTTCTCTCAAAGGTATTGGGGTGCCTGATTCCCACTGTAACTGTATTTAAGTGTCCAAATTTTTCAGAGGATCTAGATCAAAGTCCTTTGCTCCTCTGTAATTAGAGTGGGCCAGGCCCTCACCTCTGTTGTACTCATGAAAATCCATAGGAGTTATTCTGGATTTAAACAGCAGCATAGATCAGAGCCTGAATCAAAGCAATTGCTGAAAACACAGCCTGCTACTGAATCCCATTTGTTGCTGTAGAAAGAGTTTTGCAAGTGAGATTTTTTTAGCCCATGTAGAATCACAGAGATTAAAGATGACGACAATCTGGCCCTACATTCCCTTGTCCATGCTGGGTTGTTCCCCGTGGTGCATTTAATAGCTTAGATCCCAACCCTGTCTACTTCAACTTGGAACATGCCCAGCTTCAGGACTTCCCACACATGTGTTGGTTGTATCGCTTCCCTTTGAAGGAATTAGATAGGATGATAGGAACTGGAATTAAGGCGTCCCTTTCCTTAGGCTGTTCACAGTCAGATTCTGTCTTGCCTTAGTGAAGAGAAGAGAGTAATCTGGTCTGGATACTGAAAAGACGTTTGCAAGAGGCAGCAGCAGCTTTAGCCCTGGCACACCAGCCGATTTCCCGTTTCTGCAGCGATTCTGCCCCTTCACGCAAAGGTGTGGAGCCATAAATGTAAGAGGTGGAGACACCCGAAACACAGCCCACTCTGAGATGGGCAGTGAGAGTCACCCAAAGATGAGAGAGCCAGGGGAGACGTCTGGCATATGGTCCATGCTTTTATGCAGCCACCTCCTGGCTGCGACATGGCCCCTGGAACTGTCAGCTACTCCCCTGGAGCAGCACACGCTGCTGGCTCTGCCACTTTGGGGACATCTGATAGTGGCCTGAGGCCCCACAGCCCCAGATCCTAAAGACGGCTCTTCGAAACACACAGGAGGTCACCGAGGCCAAGTGCTGTCCTCGAGAAGCCTGTGCCAGCCCTGACAACATGTTTTGCTCCTCAGTCTTCACCTTCTCCAGAAACAAACCTTGGTGTCCCAGAACCCATCCATTCACTTTAAGCCTCCATCTCCTTTCTCACTAATTCCTCACATGTGTGCTTATTATTCTGGTTAATCCCCTGCTTTACCTTTTCTCCTGCAGAGGACTCACCCTCTTGGTGTAGGAAAATTAGTTTTTTATCCTGTCATCACTTTATTCACAAAAAAAAACAACTTCAGAGTTGGCATTCACGCAGCAGCCCTTTGGAGATGAGTTGCCTCCAGTCCCACAAGAGCGTAATGCTTCCACAAACGTGGGACAAAGTCTGGCACCCCAGATCAATACGAGGTTGGGATTGCCCACAATACAGGTGTCCTTCCCGAGGCAGGATGGGCAGGGAATCCTCCCTTCTCGTTCCAGGTCTTAAAAAAAGGGCCCTGTGTATTCAGGATCTGCTCTTGTCAGTGGTCAGAAATGTAGTGGAAAGGCCTGGGATAGGGACCCACTTCTTCCCTTTTCCAGTTCAGTGAGGCTGAAGCAAAACTGGTTCTCATTTGGCTGGTTTTCAGTGCCTCATTCACAATGAGGTGGAGCAGGGGAGAAGAGGGCCTCAGCCCAACTTCCAGTGGACTTTACAGACCTCTCTGCTGCGGGGGTCAAAGCAGTACGTGCCAGCTTGGAGGCTGAGCTTTCCTCTTCATCTTCATGGAAGCAGCTCCAGGACATGGATATGATGCTCAGGCTGATGGGGAGAACGGAAGAGCCTGCAGGAGGCTGTGCCTCTCCTGTGCCTGTCATGGAGATGGGCCAAGCAGGTGGCAGAGCTGCCTGGATATCCTTTTCGCCCAGCACCCAATTCAAGAGAGAGAATAGTATCGGAGAAAGCAACATACGCTCAAAAAGCATGGGATTCCCAGGAGTGTTATCAGGGCTGACAGTTCCTTCTGTCTCCTTTTGCGGTGGAGCGGCTGGCTGTAGGAGAAAGGGAGGCAGGGCACATTTGCTTAATCCTGTATGCTCTCAGCTTCAGCAGCCAGCATCTCTGCAGTCTGGTCACTGAACGCTCTAACTCTGGTTCTCCGACACCCCTCCATCCTGTTCCCTTTGAAGTCCTCTTTTTCCCGGGCAAAGCCGTTGTCTTCTCACAGCAGCACATGGCTGGGGGTGTGCTGTTGGGCCAGCCTTCAGTCCACATCTGAGGGACCTCTGGGGAAGAGGGCAGCTGGGAGCAGTCATATGAATTGGTGTTGGGGGCAGTACTTAGCCTCCAGGCTGCAGATTTGGGTATGTTTGGTTCAGGCTTTGCTCAAGCTCTGAACAAACAGCATTAAAACCAAACTTGACTGCATTTTTCATTGGCTTAGAGAGGCGCAAGGACCAACTCCCACATCCAAGAGGACCTAAGCTAGGTTCCTCCTGAATATCTCACTTCCCAAGTGGAAGGATAAAATAGTAATTAAAATAAAATATTCCTGGACGGATTTGCCATGTGGTCTAGAGAACATTTAATTCTCCCCACAGGGTAGTCTTAACACCACAGTCATATATATAAAAAAAAAATTCAGCATTATCCTGGGCTTCTCTGCAACATGACTATCAGCATTTTCAGTACCGCGGGGAAAAAGTCGACTTCCGACTCTTCCTGGAAACCTGCGATGGTGTCTTCCAGCCTGCCCATGCAAAAGGTGATAAAGGGGTAGAAACATAGGGTCAGTGGCCAGAGGATGGTGTGCACCGCTCTCTTGAGCAACAGCCGCATCCTGTGGGCTGAACACAGGGGCTGAGAGCATTTAGCTGCTGACTTGAATTTGGCACCGGAGAGAGCCCCAGTGACCTGCTCGTGACTTACGGTGTTGCTGTAGCCAAATCACTTCCCTTTGTCTCTCCGTTACCCAATTGAAGAGCTGTTGGAGAATTCAATTCTTTTGTGCTTTAAGGATCTAAATGGATTAGTAAGTATTAGATGTTTAAGAATCCTCTTTGGTTTTAGTCTTTGGGTTTTAGTCTTTGGTCCAGCAGAGTTTTGCAGTCAGGCTGAGACAAGAAACACAGAGCATTATTTCTATGTATGCTTATACAACAGTCTAAGTATAGGGCCAGTAATTGTGCCTAATGCTATCTAAACAGCAAACACTTCCACTCCTGACATGTTTCAGAATGAAAAAAGCCTATCAGTCAAGCAAAGAAAGCTCCAGTCCTGCTGATAAGAAACTGTCTGTGGAGATGCAGAAAGCTTGGTCACTCTGTGTGTCCTTTGCTGTACCTTTTGCTTTGGACTGGCCATTAAAAATACCATCTTGCTTCACTGTCTGGATTTAAGGCAGCAAATGGGTTGTGTTGTGCAACATGACCAGTCCCACAAAGATCTTGCCATAAGTTACGAGGTTAAGAACCACCAAGCAGGCGTTAGTGGTCTGTAGTCATGGGGCCATAATCTGCCTTCAGATCCATCACTGGAGTTAATGCTCCATCAGATTTACTCCAGAGTGACAGAAGAGAGACTTTTCCTCGCTCTGGTCTTGCAGCAACACACCCACTTGCTGAGGGTCCATTCAATGCCTGTTGAAGCTTTTGGTTAACTTCAGTGGATCTCAGACTGGGTGCTTGGCTTGAGCTCTCTCAGCTTCAAGTCAATTAGTGCTGCCGTGCTTCATACTTCTGCATCCCAGACAGCTCTGTCCGTACTGTCCAGAGGGCTTCAACACTCATTTGGTGTCTTCTAGAGGACACTCTTTCTGGAAGCAGTAGATGCAGGAACTATGGATGAATCAGCAATTCAAGAAATCAGCTATTTTATTTATCCCTGAGCCAAACAAAAAAAATCTCTTTCTAGTGTCAACGGCCAGAACATCAGAGGCTGTGAATTTAGTCTCAATTCTATGTAAAATAATCCAAATAGAGCTTGTAATAGCTTCATAAACAAGAGCCTTTGATTTCTAACCCCACAGCTGCTATTACTAGTGTGTGATGTGTGAACCTTCTGTCTATTAATCCCTGGAAGATGCATGGCTTTGCAGTGATGTGGTATTTGGTAGAGTGTGAATCAAACCATCACTGATTTCCTCATCCTTTGTCTTCACGTTTAGACTGTAAATGGCCGTGTTAAATAGGTGTGGACAATAAGTATGAAAAGCCACCTGAGGCAAACTGTGAAATAAAAGGCTCTATGTTCTCAGATGATGAAGAGAACTATTCATTGGATTGTGCATCCATGAACAAAAGGCCCAAAAAGAAGGATCAACCCCTTGAGGTACTTCCATATTGTCAAGGCTCCTCCTTCTGTGACATTCCTTGAATCTTCAACTGAATGAACATCTCTCTCTGGTCTAAAAACACTAACTCCAACAATACATTTCTGGTCTTTCAGGGGTGGGTCTTGCTATGGGTTCACTCACTTTGCTGCATGTGTGGATTTCCTGAAAGAAGTCTGAATTAGTGCCTGTGGAGATAATGGTTATATGGGGCTTCAGAGTTGGATCTGAATTGCTAAACTTGTATCTAGCTCTAAACCATGTGCTAATGTGGAGGTGTTTGGGTGAGAGGATTTGGGTATCAACTGCTAGTTGATTTTTCACCTCTGTAGAGGAAAATATATTCTCACCCCCAAGGCAGGTTATGGTGAGAACAGCCAGCACCCACAGCCAGAGCCCTCACAGTTCAGAGCCCAGTCCCTCTCGCTTGAGTTCGCACCTAGGCAAACCCCACCGAAACCAGTGGCAGTTCTTCCTTCATGACTTAAATAGGTTTTTGAATCAGGCACTGTATTAACAAGTATGTTTTAAGTTGCTTCACGGAAACAAAAGAACTAAAGGAGACGCAGATCTCACACTGTGGTTTGCCAAAAGCAATTTTAGCAACATTTTGTTGTGAAGGAAATAAAACCTCCATGGGAGATGCTGTAGGCAAAGACTCCTTCCAGATCCGGGCAGGGGGGATGGAGCCACAGCCAGCAGCTCTCAGATCCGAGCTGGGAGATCTCCACTATGGGAGAGCTGGGTTTGTTCCACCCTCCCCTTGGCTCAGTGTGAGGGAGCTGGAGCAGTGTGGTTTGGTAAGCAGTTGTGTGACCTTGTGGTGGGTCGTCCTACCTCTGAGGGGATCTCACCAAAAGCTGGGCTGCTCTGTTCTTACTGTGGAAAGGTGCAGCCTCTGTAGCTACTCTCAGAACTGTCAAGTGGCCTCCCAGAGGAGGCAGAGCTATTCATTCCTGATTTAAGAGTCTTCACTGGGCAGTTAATGGCTGCTTTGCTTTAAGAGCCATCTGGCTTCCCAAAGAGCAGCCTTCTCCCAGGCTGCAGGAGATACTGCTGTAGTTGTCAGGCTGTGTCCCTGAGCTCCTGGTTTACAGATAGCGACTCTGAGCCAGCAGCTATGGAGTCTGGGGTGGTGTGGGATCCCTGCCTGCCATACACAGCAGCTTTCTTCCTCAGCTTTTCTCCTCCAGCTGTGCCTTTCTGGATGCAGCCGTCCCATCCAGCTCTGTTTGGCTTTCAGGGATTCACAGTGGGGACTTGGGGTAAAATTTCGGGCTTGGAAGATGGGGTGGGGTGTTGGATTAACCCCATCTCTGCGAAAAACTACCTTGGTTTATGGGCAAGCTGGAAGAGGTGGAGATTTAGATGGAGTCTAAACAAAACCTCACTGCACTGCAGTTCCTTATCTGTATGAATATTTATACCTTGCTGCATCACCGGAATGTGAAAACACAGCATGATCTTGGGTTGAAAAGTCCTATAAAATGGAAATGACAAAGTCCTCACTTATGAATGGTAAGACTGTGTCGTAGTCTTACAGGTAAATAGGTTGATGCTGTTAAAGAAAATAAAGCTTTGGATATTTATGTAAATGGAGTAGAAGAGCTTACCAGGCCTTGCAGTGTTACGTGATGCTATGACAGGCCTCCACGCTGAGAATTTGTGCTCCTCCGCAACATCTGGTAGCCATTTCTTTTTGTGAAGCTCGCAAGACACAATGCTATGCCAAAGCTCTTCTGAGAGAAGTATGCACTGCAGATTAGGTTTGGGGTTTTTTTTGTTTGCTAGTCTAACTAATTTCTCTCAGTCTGGCAGTGTTACGTGATGCTATGACAGGCCTCCACGCTGAGAATTTGTGCTCCTCCGCAACATCTGGTAGCCATTTCTTTTTGTGAAGCTCGCAAGACACAATGCTATGCCAAAGCTCTTCTGAGAGAAGTATGCACTGCAGATTAGGTTTGGGGTTTTTTTTGTTTGCTAGTCTAACTAATTTCTGTCTCAGTCTGGAGAACAGGGTTGATCGCAGTAAACCAATTTAATGGAGTTGGTCTGGCTCCTCCTGGGCATTCAGGGCTCCTTTTTAAAGCTCTCTGCATCAGCTGACTGCAAGGCAGAATTGCAGTAGTTGGCTTCTAAAATAATTCCAACGGATTGTGTCTGGCCTGTCTCCCAAGCGAGGGGCCGATCTTTTAAAAGAGCTCTGCCTTGTGAGAATTACAGGTCCAGTGTGTTTCACCTTGGGGACCTCTTCAGCTTCGTAATGCCCCAACGAGGTGTACCCTCAGAGGGGCCGTGGCTGGGCTGAACAGTGCAGGGTGGGCTGGGAGACACCAGAGCTGGCTTTCTGCCACCAGTTTGCTCTCTTGATCCAAGAGCTGCTGTAAATGGCACCAATTTGTCCTGGCTCCTTTGACTGTTATGTTATTAGCAATCTTTAGCCACACCTCTAACCAGGGGCCAGAGGGGAAGGTGTTGGTGTAACCTGGGTAAAGGACTACAACAGGTTTCTTAAATGGGTTAGTCTTCAGCTGGTCATTCATTAATGATCTTCAGGGCCAAGATCTGCTTCTCCGTTACTTCTTGCCTGGAGCGGGATCATTGTCACAGAGGTGCCACAAAGATGGGCGAGTTTTAAGGAAAGAAAAAACATTTCCTATTATGCCACTGAAGTTTTCTCTTGCTTTTCTGCAGGCACCGCCTAGGACCCTTAGACCTCGCTTCAGGAAGAAAAGTACCTCGTCCTCTGCCACTGAAACAATGTGAGTGCAATGAGCCAATAGCACCAAGATCCACAGAATGTCTCTCTTCTGCCTTAAAGAGCTACTCGTTAATAATGTAGGAAACAGCAGTGGGATGGATGTGCTTTGATGTACAGCATTGTAGACATGGCCTTTCTCTCTCCTCTCTCTGTATCCTTCCGTTACACGCTTCTTGCGTTTGTCCGTGACATGGGTAGGACAGTCTGGCAGACATGTGCAGGCTAAGAGTCCTTGTTCCGTTTGCAGAGTGTACGCCCACTCACGCTAATCCTGTAAGGCTGTACATTTACAATTCTCATTTGTGTCTGCATAGCTCTAGCTCTGTGAATGCACAGCGGAAAGAAAAATAATCAGTTACTCATTATGATACATTGACAGCGTATTTATTTATGGCTTTATCATTAATGAAGTGGATTTGCAGAAGCCATGGGTTTCTCTTTCCTCCCTTCCTCCTCAAGACTGTGAATGATGTAACAAATGTCAGAGTACTTTGACTGTACAAAACCTCCAAGATTCATTAGCAAAAGCTGAGCTGCAACTCTGTTTCTCTTTCTGCAAGTAAATCATGTGTATTCTGAGAAAATCGTTGTACTAAAAACCATAGAGACAGAACCACTTACAGAGGACGAGGAAGAGACATGCAAGAGAAAATAAATGGTTTCAACGATGTAATGAAGGGGGAGTCTTAATTTTGATCAGCCTGAGCCAGGAGAGTATTGTGTGGAAAATGATGGCGGCTAGAAGAACTAGATTCATAGAGACAGAACCACTTACAGAGGACGAGGAAGAGACATGCAAGAGAAAATAAATGGTTTAACGATGTAATGAAGGGGGAGTCTTAATTTTGATCAGCCTGAGCCAGGAGAGTATTGTGTGGAAAATGATGGCGGCTAGAAGAACTAGATTGTATCGCTTGTGGCAAATGTTCTACTGCCAGTTTTAAAGTGTGAGCAAGCCAGACTTGTACTAGCTGCAGCGACAGAAGTTAGAATCAATTTAGTGACGCGCTTCCAGGGGAAAACTCACCTTTCTCCCCTGCCTGCAATAGTGTCAGTCCCAGCGCTCTGCTTTCCTGGTGAGGTGCTGCTGTTTTACTTGCACAGGCAGAGCAGGGCGCTGGGTCTGAGCTGCTTTTTTGAAGCCTGGAGTTTCACCTGTAGCATGGAGTTTGGTTAGAACCACAAGAACCAGATGGAGTGGTGTATTTGTATCCATATATAAATGAGAAATATAAAAGAAGAGGAAGACGTGGTAGGGTTTGTGTATTTGTGCTTCAAGTTGGTGTCTCTTGTAAGTGTTGAGCATGTGAGATTCACACAGAAGTTAATTATGTGACCCTTTGTGTTTGCTCTTGGACCTGTCACATAGACTAGAAAAGCATTTAGCATTACATAGAACGTGCCATCACTAATGGATCAGTACACGGGCTTGATGATGAACAGGACTGTTCATCTAGTTCAGGTGCAGCAGTCCAGAATGCCAACAGCCGGCTGGAGTGTATCAGGCTCAGAGATAAATCTGAAGTGGCCTTTGAAACCTTTTCTCTGCCGGATATGCATCGATATCCCAGCTGTCCCTGTCTGATGGATCCCTGAGGTTTCCCCCAGACCTTCCTACATATGTGGGGAAGAGAGGAATAAATTATGCGCCCGCACAAATGTTTGTCTGACCTGGCTAGGAAGTGGAAAAAGCAAGCAGGTATTTCCTGTGTCTGCCGCCACATTTGGCCTCATTACCTGAGAATTTTATTTCCTTTATGTGTGCTAATTCAATCCTATTTTGCAATGGGTAAGAAGGAAAAAGCCCTCAGAAAGTAAATTGAAATAAACCCAACAAACCTGTCTAAATAGCAGTTACAGAAGAGTCAGTCCTTGGAAGATACTCAGCAAAAGCTTTGAGGAGCTAAGCTCGTGTGTTTTATTTTTAAGCAGCTTTAGAGTTTATTTGATTTCTTTTGGCAAACATTAAAAAGTAATAGAAAAACTGCCTGCAGTGTTAGCAGAAAATAAAATCCTGTTGCAAGCAAGCTATGTTTCCCTGCTCTGCAATGGGCTGCCATAAGATAAAAAAGCAGCCGACAAGTTTGCACTCATTTATGCCAAAAAACCCCAACAACATAGAGCTACATAACATCTGACAAATTCTATTCTCAGACACGCTGTAGTAACATTGATTCTCACTAAAATTATTAAATGTGCGTCTAATCTGCTGTTTCACTGTAAACTTGACTGTTTAGCATTTCTAAGTGCTGAGGTGAAATTGTTGACAAGGGAGTTGCCTTATATCTCTCAAAACATTCACTGTATAAATGAGAAAAATAAACCTTTTCATATCTCTGGCAAAAATGTATTACTTCATCAAGCGAGCTGTGTATTTGCGTATAGCTAGACAAGAAATGCGAATGCCTACCCACGTACACTTAGTGCTGTAGTGTTCTGTATACAGAAGAGAACGGTCATTTGCTTTTGATTCCCCATCTTCCACACACAGGTTGTTTACAGGTGTTGCCCCAAGTCTGTCGTTTCACTCTTTGGCTACTTGCATTCATTCCGAACAAACGCCAGACATGAAGTCCTTTGTCGCAGTTTTTCTCTTGAGCCCCTGCCAAGGAACAAGCCCGATTCAGCGAGTCGCCTCCCTGCGCTGATGCTGACCCCTCCTGGCAAACAGGAGTTTGCAGGACTCGAGCGAAGAGGGGACACATGGATGGCGGCTTCTCAGGCGTGTGTTGATGCGGAGCAATTCTCGGCTTCCTCCCAGCTCAGGCTCTGAGGGTGCAAGCCGGCTAACCGCTTGCAGATTACTCCTAGAAGCAAGCAATCCTTCAGCTGATGGTTTAAAATAGCAACAGATCTGGCTTGAGTAAGAAAAGCCCTGTCATAGGGGCCTTTCAGGCAGCCGTCCTCTACAATTGGTCCTGTAGGGCAGGCAGGCACCTCCCGACTTCTCAGAGATGGCCTGGAGAGCGTAACCCTGAAAGAAACAGGCCAGCCCCAGAAAATACAGCCTTTAACCAGCACAAGGCTCAAGTGAAATGTGCGTTATTTTGAGCAAGTAAAATTGAGGCTGAGGGGAAGGAAACTGCAGCTGAAGATAGTCCATGGTAAACAGGCCTATGAATTACCTCACCCATTTCCCATAAATTCACCTCAATTATGAAGAGAACAAGCTCGAGGAGGTCAGCACAGTCCTCCGCGCCTCCTTTCTTGTTGTAGGGGCCAGTGTCAGCGCAGTTACACCAATTGCTGAATCAGGATCACATCAAATACAGACCAGACAGACTTCATGTGTATCACTGACACCTTGGAATTAATCCCATGCTAATCTAAATTGTGTAAGTGCAAACCCAGCATAGAAGGAAAGGAGAATGGGGTTATTTATTCCTAATGAGAGGGAGAAAGCTGCTTGGAGAGGTACGATGCTCCCTAGCCTCATGTAAACAACCTGCTGCCTCCGACTGCTCTCTGGAGTGTTCTCGTGTACTTGTACTTGTGACCGAATGCTTGCTGATCACAGTCTCATTTTTGCTCTTTGTTTCGGGTACCCATTTTGCATCTAGCACCATATCTGAAGTAGCAGAGAACACTACGTTGGGATTTGCATTTAGACAAACTATTTGAGGATCGTAATTGTGCCCTTCACGTGATGGTAGAAAAGATCTGTGATGAAATGGTACACTTAACGCCTCACAAGGATGGCCATTACAACAGTATTCCAAAGGTTGATGTTTTGTTGGTTTTGTTATACTGCTTGATCTACATCTTGAATAAAGTCTTAATCTTTTCTTGAAAAAAAAAAGAAAAAAAAAAGAAAACATCTTTAGTCTGTTCAATGTATCTGGCAGGCCAGAATAATTACTTTGATGGCTGTATTATTTTTATCTCAATTCTGGCTGACTGTATATAGATGTATTCACTAAGTGCTGCATGTCCTTCAGAACTTCTTTCTGTATTATGAACTGGAAAAGAAAATACAGCTACTGAACACTCTGAGTAACTGGTGAATTCATTGAAACGCTACAGCCTTGTACGGCAAAGCATCTCTTGCTATACAGGTGGCTCTGGAGCTGATAACCAGGGACTACCTGCTTAATAATGGGTTAATTATTAATGAACATTTTGAAGCTACTGCTAGAAGCAACTGCTTTTCATACGCTTGCTGGAGTACCAGCTTTGTAGAGAAAACCTCCGACCTAGCCCTCAGCGAAACCAGAGATGACTTGCATTTACGCTCCAAAAGGACCCTGTAATAAACCCTTGGTTTTGTCCCATACATACATGTGACCAGAGGTACGCAGCGTGAGGTGTAATGAGGCTTACGGAAAGGATAAAAAAAAATACAGTACTCAGAACTGACTGCTTGAGGACGTAGCGTAGGAGCCAAAGAACATATTCTACTACTCAAAAACCAACACAGAATACAAAATGCGAGTCCTGTAATGAAATCTGGTGGCCAATACATTTTTACATCGGTTATAAAAACTGCATGTAGCCATGAAATGCTGTTTTTTTCTATGCTCTCTGGCATGGAGACATGGCCACAGTTTATCTGGTACAGTGACAGGCAACAATACCGTAACAGACCCTGCTCTCCTTTCTCCCCTTCCCCAAGGAGACTCCATTCAGTGAGCTACCAGTAGGTCTGGACACAGCAAAATATATCCTGGGGTTACTTAAACGTGTTTCTTTTAAAAATTTTAAGACTAAGTATGTTGAATTTTTCACTTTTAGTGATGTCTAGACTGTATTCACCCATGTTACACACAATCGCATGAAACCAACAGACGTTCAGGTTGACGTAGGTGACCAGCTTGACCTCTGCTAAATAAAACACGAATTGCAGCTCAAGACAATCTTGAATATTCCTTTATTTTGGGCATCAATACCCATAATTCTGATCAGATGATACGCGTATGTTGATTTAGAAAAGTAACAGGTATTACAGATTTATGTTCTAAAATTGAGACCATACCAGATGTACCACTGCCTTTTTCCTAGAGAGGTGCAAAAATGAAACCAAGATTTCTACACACGAAGATTCGTGCGATCGTGATACTTCTGGTAGGGATCATCAACATACCAATTTCTTCTTTTCCAGAAAGAAGTGGTCATTTTATCAAGGAGTTTACATTGTGTTCTAGTGCACAACACGAGCTCTCTCAAACGCTTCTTCTGGGCAGCTGACTTTTTCCACAGTTTCTTCTTATAACCGGCCTGTCAGAAGAAAATACACAAAAGGCTTTTAAGTGGGTCGCTGCAAATACACATACGCAGCAATACTGATAAGCAAACCAGGACAAATTCCCCACTTTCAGGAAGACGGGAGTCTCTGGAGCTTTTTTTAATTTCCATACTAGCTGCTGCCCTCTAACGGAAGGAGAGCAATTAGCCCACTGACTGTAAACATGCTTTTATTACAAAAAAAGAAAGAAAAAAAAAAAGTCTTACCCTTCTCCTAACCCAAAGGCCATTGTGCAGCCGGAGAAACCTATCGATGACAGCTTTCACAGTTTTCCTTTTTCCATTCCGCAAGCTACAGTAAGTGAGAGTCCTCGCTGGCTGTTGGAGTATACTTGGAAGTAGAGATGTGACACTAAAAAAAAAATAAAAAAATAAACCACCCCCAAAACAGGGAAAGAATAGAAGAGGAACGAAACATCTTTTTCTAGAAGTAATCATTGGCTTTTTCACGTAAAGAGAAACCCGGAGTGGCTGCGACTTGTTTGAAGGAGGATAACAAGAACTCGCATTGCAGCACACCGCTTACTGAGCGCGCACGTATGGACACCAGCTGCAGAGCTGAACTCTAGCTGAAATTAATCTCAAGGTCATTATTCCACACGCAACAGCTTTTTCATCCAACAGGAGTGGTTGAACACTCGAGCAAACATTCAACCGTTACTGGCATTCAGAAATTACTTTTAGAACGTTAATGGCCAGCAAGAGCAGCAGTGCCGATGAGAACAACGAGGCTTTTTCTAAAGCCCGCGTCTGCACGGCATATTCCGTTTCACATCCTGCTTCAAGCGTTACGCTTAGCAGAAGTGGGAGACTTAGGGCTAAAACAGAGACCCGTCTGCTAGAGCAAAGAGCAGCCCAAGAAGCTTCTCAGAGGAAGAGGTTTAGGTAAACCTCCTTTTAAGCTTTTTTTCCAGAAAGAACCGCGCCGGCTGTACCTGCTGAGGACCGAGGGGCTGCCTCCCCCGG